GTAATATTAATTTTATCTTTGAAAATATTCAAAACAATTGTAATTAATCATTGGTCAATATTCATTGATTATTATTTTTTTTTGCTCGATTATTTAATTATCGTACGGAAAGTACCAGCAATTGCCTTAAGGCACGATGCCATGCACCACTAGTTTCAAGTTAATTGTGAAGAAAATTGTATAGAATTTTATACGAGGCTCTAAAGCAAAACAAAGAAGAAAAAACTGATATTTGGCGGTCAAAAATTATCATTAAACATATGCACACCAAATTATCAGATATTTGATACAATTTTTAAAAATGAGTACTAATTTTGTAACAATTTATTGGATTCCGTACCAAGATTTTTAATTTTTAAAGATTACTTATACGGTTCAAGCAAATTTCAAAATTTTCAGAAAATTTAATATTTTTCAAAAATATACGAAGATTCCTACTTCAAATATGACTTTCAAATTTACAATTTCGTTTAAAAATGCATATACATATTTCAAATGCGTTATTCTAACCGTAAGAAATTTATTCGCAGATGGATTCATTCGGCATATCTTGCTAATCTAAACATTGTCAAATGTTTAGAGCGATAAGATCGTCACTGTATATTATATGAACAATAAAATATATAGTAATTATAATTATCTATTTGAAAATGTTAAAAACAATGGTTGATTACAGAATTCTTTCTCTCGAATATTTAATTCTGGTACAAAAAGTTCCAGCAATTTGCCTTAAGGCACGATGCAATGCATCACTAATCATTGTAATTTTTTGCCAAGCCATATAATCATACATTCTCCATTCTCGAGTAAAACTCACACATTCTAGAAAATAACGAAAACTATTTAGGGAAATTATAAGCACTTACTTAAGATTTCATACATAATTTTATTTGTTTTTTATTGCAAATTTTTGGTTTTTATTTTTTGTGTTTTTATAAAAGGTGACCATAGGTCCCTGTTTGGCCAAGACAGACCCTGATTTACACCTTGTGTCCCGGGCTTTTCTGAAAGCAATATTTGTTCCGGATTTAAATGTTCTGTCCCGGATTTTCCAGAATTTCCAAAAAGTATAGGTATAAACTGAATATTTGCAATTACTTGGTAATAAAAATATAACAGTCTATCAAACTATATACAACGAGTATGCTTATATGAAACAATACGTTAAGAATCAGAAAATTGCCGAATGCAAAATTCCAAAAGCCGATTAAAATAGCCTCTCACACTAATAATTTTGCACTTTCATTTTAAATTTTGCAAAAATTTCCAAATATTATGAAAACAAACTTTTTGAACGCCTTGCAAAAAGTTAGCACATTTATACTAAAGTTAATTAAGAAGGAAAAATATGATCAATATAGCATATAATTGAATGATAAAGTTCTACTAAAAGTCAATTATAAGTCAGTTAATTCAATAAAATTAACTGATTTCAAATCATATCTAAGATATTCAGCGCAATGCCGCCCTCCAGGTTAGCAAAACTTAAAGTTGCCGTCTTGGCTTTGACTATATAAAATATGTTCACCTTAGTTTTTATTGCAAATTGTTGTTTCTTTTTTCAAACTTATTTATATCGAAGTTTATTTGCATATTTAGTTAATAATTGTTTGGTATTTGACTCAATGTTTATTGTTTAAATATTACTTTTATTTTTAATTTTTAATGAGATACCAGACGTGATATTTTATCTACCTGTATATTTTATATGCATATGCATTGCATCCTCTGATCATTTCAAAATTTTTTAGATAAAATGAAATGAATCATAATTCTATATTTTTATTATTTTTTTAATAGGCGTTTTTTTGCTGCTTTTCAAAAATTCGTCACCAGGTACTTCTTAACCTACAGATGGTAGGATAGCCACGAGCAAACAAGTCCAATGTCTTATTTTTATTGTTAAATGAATTTTACGAGATATGAGCTACATTATTTTCAACAAACGCAAAATATAATTCGTAATTCTGTATAAACTTCACGGGTACATTTTTTACAGAGAAAACTAAAAAATTTTCGAAAAAAAAGTTCGAAAACAGCGCGCTTGTTTTAAAACAAAATCCAAATTTTTAAAAAATTTCAATATAAATAAAAAGAAATTTAAAAAATATATATTTTTCACAAATACTAAAAAATCAAATTTTCTCAGTTTTCATAACATTTAAAGCTTTGCTAATGAATTAAATTTTTGGTACGGAATATTCCAGCAATTTGCCTTAAGACACGATGCCATGTACTACTAGTTAGTTAATAACTTCTTCATTCATAATGTATAATGTTTGTAGAGCATACCGTAGGGTTCCTATGCGCCTAGATGACAACATCTTGCTCTTTGTGGTGTTATCGGAGTAGCCTATAAAGCAAGCGCAAAAATCGCTATTAGACTCTTTGTGAACATTGTATTTTATGTTTAAATATGCTCATAATGTATTTCAAATATGTATATATATGCATTGCAAGTATTTTATTTTGTTAATATAATTTTTAATTTAATTTTAAATTAGCAAGAAAATCATTTGCTCAATATTATTTTTTTTGTTTCAAAAATGTTTTTATATTGCTTTAGGTCAGGCGAGTTTTTCTCTTAAATTATCAACGTCGCTTTATTATATAAATCTATATTTATTATAAAAGCTTGTCCTTCAAAGAAAACGTGTCATTAGCCAATACAAAATATTCTGAGTAAAACAATTCAGCGTTAAAAAGATTTAAAATTATTTAAAAAAAACTCTCCTCTTGGTTAGTATGCGTTAATACATACATATTTGATTTATAAAATATCGCATTTTTTAAAATAAATTAAAAATTTCAGAACTTCAGAAATTATAAATCAAATTCCAATCTTTATTATTTAGTTTAGAAGCAGGTTAACGCTATAAACAGAACTGTGCAGGTCCGTCATCTTTAATAGGTAATATAAAATTGATCTTTGATTTTAGTTTGCGTTATTATAATCGACTACTTTTAAATTTTATATATCTTATTTTGTTTCAAATTTATCAATCTTTGATAATCCTTTACAATTTTTGTGATTAGATAAATCACATCTGGGGTTAGTTGAAACAAAACTTTGGGGCTAATTATAACATACATAAATTATATACAGATTCAAGTAAAGAAATGTATAGTTTTTTAGATGTGGGCTCATGTTAAACTTCTATATAACATTAATTGCAAATAGTTTTATTATATTACTAACACAAATTTTTGCGAAATATGGTTGCCAAAATTGATTACAGTGTAGCAAAATACAATTAGTGAATCGGTTTTGAAGATGAAAATTACAACTTTTTTTGAAACAAAATATTTTTCTAAAATAACACAGATCCACAAAAAAATGTCTGTATTGGGTGTGCCGCATATGGTCCCTAATGTAGTTTTTACCGTTCAACGCAAAATTGGGAGCAATAAATTGAAAACAAAAAAAAAGCCAAAATCTCGGATCTAGTAAATCTTTTCCATTATAATTAAAATCTCTGTCTGTTAATTTCTGTCGTTTAAACAACAGAAATATTCCTGGCCTTTTCACCTTAAATGACCATTGAGCTTCAATTAAATAATCAATAATCTATTGAGATTGTTTTTGTTTAAATTCAGCAGTAAGCGAATATCTTTGATTGTTTTATAATTCATTTTTAATATAAAAATCAGTATCAAGAATACAAAATTTGCGATAGTAGTAGATAGAAGAAAGTTAGTGTCATCTAAAATATTACGACGATAAATGCTACGTGATCTACTCGTCAATGAATGCAAAAAAATATTTTATTCTCTCATCGAAAATGATTTACTTGATGCGTTTATTAACAGTAGAATTTTCAAAAAGTATCTTTGGAAAGTATTTATACAGCTTATTTTGCTATATACCTACATTTACTTTCAATTTTATTAAAAAAAAATTTTTTTTTCTTTCATTTTTTACAAATTAATGCATTATGTTTATTTTTTCAATTCGATTGCTTCAAATTCTAATAATAAGATTGACGGGTAAATAGAACTAATGTAAGCGCTTGGAGCTTCATAACCAGGAGCTCCAAGCTCAAGTCTGCGCTGCGTATTCTTTTATATCAAGTAATAGTGATAGCAGTTTTGACCTGAAAATATAGATCCGAGTATATTTCCAGTTTTCTCCTGCAATATCACAATTAAAAACACTAAAAAGTACCACCTTTGGGTTGCCTTCTATATGCATTCAGAAAAAAATAAAATATAAATTTTAGATAGCAAGAACTGTCATTATAGATTGCTTTCTAATAGTTTTTCAAAAGAACTGCTTATAAAGTATATAGTTAAAAAAATAGCTTTCATAGATAGTATAGTGTAAATTATTATAATGAGTAAGTTTTGCTTCTATAAATGTATGATACATATTGTTGAATATTTGTATTTCTGTAATTATTATTAATATATTATACGTTTATAATATAAACATGTCTTTTCATTTTCTTATGAATTCGCAAAAAATAAAACAACCATATGCGCAATAATTTATTACAATAAAATACAATAAAAATAGTGTGTTTCACAAAATGTTTCAATTATACATCTATTTCGGTTTTTAATATTTTATGCAAACGATAAAATGCTTTTCAATTTATTGGTCTTTGTATTAAATTTTAAACTAATTTCAGTTGTTTTTATTTATTTATTCAATTTTGTTACAATAAATAATAATAAATAACTATTCTAATTGAAAATAAAAAATATTTTATACTAAACATTATCTATAGTTTGCGATTGCCATCACAATCATTTAAAGAATATCAAATAGACATAATAATGTATCTAAGAGAACATAACGAAAAGTTATCGGTGTCGACGATGCATTATATTTACATCAACTTAAATTAAGTAGTCGTATATAAAAATAAATATTCGACAGTACTTTGGTGATTATACGTATCAATCATCGTTTTAAAACGATTAAATTTTGTCAGTTTCGGAGAAGTTTATCATAGTTCAAACTCTGTTTATTAATTCTTAAAAAGACCTATTAGTTTCTAATAGGTACTTGAAGAAGAACTTCCAGAGCTGAGAGATCCCAGACTGGAGCTTGAAGACGAGCTTGAGCTTTGGGGGTAGTATGCGCTATAAGCCATGCTTTGAGCCGAAGATGGTTCCCAGACGCGGGAGTATGGGCCGCTACCCGAGCTTGAGTTTGGTTCCCAACCTGGTTCGTAAGAGCTTGATGGGGTAGATGGTGGTGGCACTGGTGCGCCGTATGGCTCTGGTGGAGGAGAAGACATGCTCATCATGGGCATAGCCATACCACCTTTCTTCAACAGCTGGGAAACCAAGAATCCTACTACTACCAATATGGCAACTTTACTTAAGATCAGAGCTTTCAAAGCTTTCAAGCTTGTGATGGCGAGCAGAATTGGCATAAGTGCCTTCATTTTCAACTTCAACAAAAGCAAAACTGGAAGAAGCAGCTTTTTCTTCAGAACACCGCGGGCTGAAATAAATGATACATTTGTAGATATCTTAAAGCTTATAATTCAGTTTTTGTAAGATACGTATAATTTTATAAATTGCGTGTTATAAAATTTTGCTACTGTATATTATAAAATTTTATAATCACACTTATTGTGACGCCATATTTGTATTGTCTTATACATATAAATTTTTATAATATATTAAATTGTAATATTTGATTAGTCACATCTGTTTTTTCTTTATAAACGAGCACTAATTGAGATATTGAAAGTAAATATTATAATATGTTTTTACCTTCTCCGGTAGTGTTTTCTTCTACATCGGGAACAACAATGTCTAATCCTTTATCAGCTCTGTAAGAGATTTCTGCATTTTGGAAAACTGTTTCAGGTAATCTCAATTTGAACTCGCGAGTTTGAAGAAGCTTGGCCATACGGTCGAATATCACTTTATCAATATTTTCGCTGTCGTAGCTTCTTGCGGATTCCGAGTGCATATCCAATTGCGAATCAAAATAAGTCAAAACTTTTTCCTTGAGACAACTAACTGCTTCATCATGAAAACAATCGTTCACAACTGTTGACACTAGCTCATCTGCACTATTGATTCTATCCACTGAGGAAATTTCATTGCTGATAGATGCACAGTGCGACACTGCCACAAGGGCCAAAAAACAAATTATACGAAAAGCCATTTAATGGGTAATTAAATATTATTTTAAAATTTTTAATATCTAGAAATGATTTTTGATGATCACTCAAGCACAATCGATCTTTGATTGATGACGGTTGGGCCTGCGCTTTGTTTTTATATCGATTGATAGACAATAAGGTTTTGAGGACGTATCCCGAACACCAGGCGAATACTAATTTTTCACCAGCACGGTTCAGGCATCTTTCTTACGTTAGTGTCAGTGCTCAAGTCTATGATGTAGTCGTTAGTGAAATATTTTCACGCCTGTATAAGTGAACGAAATTCTTTCCATTAATAGCGGTAATAAGATTTAATTTGGTAATAGTGAGAATTAGATCGACTTATCAAAGAAAAATATTCTAAAACATTACAAACATTGTGAAAATATTTTGCTAAACTTTTTTTTAAATAAATCTTCTATTACACATAGAATGTATTATTTTTAGTCGCTTTTCCCTCATACTACAAGTAAGGGCATTTATAGCCTTTAAATGTATTTCAGTACAATTGTAAAAATCTATCATTGTATCTGATTAATAACTAGTAATTAATAAGGCAAATTGCTGAAACTTCCCATACTGTAATTTAATATTTGATATTCAATGATTTAAATAGATTATTATAAATACTGTAGCTTTTATTATTAATATTTTATAGAGAAAATCTAAGAGCTTATAAATTGGACGATGATGTTTGTAAAAATTTACATAAAAAATAAATGAACAGAAATTAATGAAGAAAATTTAAAATGAAAGATCTTATCTCATATTTCTAAAAAAATTATAAAAATTAAATTAAATTAAAATTATTTATATTTGAAATATATAAGTGAGCTCTAGAATTTCAGCTAGAATCAAAATTAAAATCCGAATTATTTTCGATATTAAAAAAATTTTTGGAAATTAAATATTTTTTCTTATTGAAATTTTGAAATAAAAAAATATTTTTTTTCCAAAAATAATCGTTTCGTCAACACAAACAAAAAGTTTTCTGAATCATTCAATCTGCCATTTTTTGCACATTTTGCTCGGTATCTTCGAATCGGCTGGCTTCGAAACCTGTTTTGACCAAAAACTAATCAGTACGTCTCCCCATCGAATGTTTTTTGAATTACTCAAATCGGTTGATCGGTGCGCCCGAATTGTCGACAAAAAATTGTATCTAAACACATACTACATACATACACACATTCATTTTTTCTGAGGAATACCAAAATGTTCAGAAATCTTCGAAACGTGAAAATATGCAAAATTTTTTAATTTTTATTTTTGGACGATTACAATAACTTACCTTGCAGAAAGTTAAAAAATGTGGTTAGTATGTAACACAATGTAAAAAAGTATCCAAACTAATGTAATCAACCGTAGTTATTTTCATTGTCTGATTTCATAGAAATGTGCTAAAATATTGTGGTTTTGAAACACAATAAATACTACTATTTTTAGATTTCAAGATACAATTCAGTGATACATAATAATTTAATTTAAGAATATTTATTGCTTAAGATGTCTTAACTCTGTATTCGTTCGTAAGCGTTTTACAAATACGGTATTTATTAAAGTGCAGTGTACACTTATACTACGCAAATACCTTGTATTGAATTTTTATATCTCTCTTATTGTTGGTTACCTCTCAACGGCTCTTATTATCTTTGTGTAAAAAGCAAAATACACTTGCTAGATAATTTTTTCTACTATTTAAATTACAAGCTGTCGTAGTAAAGTCATTCAGTAATTAATATGTTATAATTATATAATTTATTTAGAAAGATTACCCATTGGTAGTCCTTGCAGGTGTGGATAAACACTATTACTCTTTACTGATTACTATTTACTATAGTATTACTGTGATAAACCTATTAACAATATTAATCAATACCAAGCAGCTAATGTAAAGCGAATACTTTGAAAAAAAGTTCAAAATATCCAAAATATTTCAAAGTATAAAAAATCAAATTTTTTCAACAAGTTCAATTTTTTTCAAAAATTTTAAAAATATCAAAAATAAATTTTCTTCAGAGCTCTAAAATAAAATTGAATCTTTTTTAAACATTTTAATTTTTGGTACGGGAAGTACCAGAAATTTGCCTTAAGGCACGATGCCATGCATCACTAGTTATAATTAGTCTAGAGTTAATGTGAAGAAAGAAAAAAAATTAATTATAAAAAAATAATTAGTGCGTTAATTCTGATAGTTCTGTTTTTTTTAGCCTCTGTTGATGTGTGGTATTATGTACTTGCTAGATAAATTCGTGTACTGAGGGATTTGATTTTTTTATCACAGAGAAAATTATAACCAATAAAAAAATATTATATATTCTAAGTTATATAGAATTCAGGCAAATCAAAACACGCTGCAAATTTATTTAATTTTTATTGAGCGTAAATTAACACTAATAATTCAAAATATTTTCTGCATGTAAAAATGCATTGTTTTAAAATATTCATTATATTTCTTTACTCTTCTTACAAATAATCAACATTAATTAGACTATCTTAATACTAGAGTATGATACAATACACGTATTTAGAACTACTTCGACTAGTTAAAAAAAAAACACTCAAATAATAGTTATTAATTAATTATAAACAGTTATACGTTTTGCTTAAATGATGAAACGTTTTTTAATAAGGTTGCTAATAAATAGAGAAATATATGCAAAAAATCTTTCACAATTAAAGATTTCTTTGATAATGAAACAAAACTTCTGAAATAATTTAATAGTTGTTAAAATAAGCTATTGTAGTTGTTTATTATACTTGAATATATTTTTTTGGTACACGTTATTTTATAGATTTGCAAGATCTCTTGTTATTTTTAAGTTAGATTTAACAGTTTCTTTTTTATAACTTCTATAAAGGTTTGCATATGGATGGTGTAAAAAGAGCCAACTTAATCTTTACATTGGCAGAGGTGTAAACAATAAAAAATAGTAAATATAAATATAATTAATTTATTAATTAGACCAATTTCACAAGAGATAAATTGATTTAATAGTTATACGACTTCTGTTGATGAATATTTCCTTCTAAATACCAGATCAAGGTTATAAACAATGAAATCTTTGTAAAAAATGTTCCCATAAAATTAGTATTTTACATTGGTTAAATAATATAACTACTATTTCGTAAAAACGCTTTGAAATTATGAAAGGTCGTTGGATTTGTTCGTCTCCTGTTATTCGGATTTTAATAATTTTTTTAGAGTTTGTCGAGAGAAATTTTCAACATGTGAGAAATTATAAAACTATAGTAATATTGTAAAAATAAACGGAAAAAATGCAAAAAACAACATATCTTTGTTTGACATTGTCAACATTTCGACACATGAGAACTGTCATCTGCCAAAAACGTCGATTCACTTGAAATTTGAATTTAGTTTAAGCGAGCCTAGACAATATTAGTATATAATATCCATATTCATGATTATAAATAAGAAAAATGTAATATCTACAATATTATGGCCAAAAACCAGCTGAGATGAATTATTTAAATACAAAAGAATATTTCTACTTATTCAAAAAATGAATTAGAATTTTGTTTCATGTGTCAAAAATTCATTTGTTTCATTATGATTTTAGATTGAACAGTGTTATATGAACTAGATTTTATAAAGATTTGAACATAAACAATAATGTTTATTAAATTAATAGTAAGAAAAATATAATTTAGAAATTGTAATTGCCAAAAAGCAATTAATGTAGGGTTCACGATTATAAAAAATATATACTGTTCGTTATTATATAAATTGTTGAAGCAATTATATTGGTTGGAAATAACAAAGGTGATATTGTTTTTTTACCGTAGATACTATATTTAATCTTTCTGAATATCTTATATTGATCAAAAAACTGCATTTTCCGATACGTATA